CAGTGGATTGTAAAGGGCAGCGGCCCTCGAATAGCCCGCGTTGTCTGCCCGGTTCGCGAGTTTGCGCCGCGTGCTCGTCGAGTATTCTCGCTTAACGAGTGTACGTACACATACACACACACGCACACACACACACACCCGCGAGTAATATTTTGTGTTTCATTTTATATTATTTAGTTGAATATATTTCTTATTTTAAACTTGGTTGCAAGTGCTTCCTTTTGTGTGTGCCCGATTCCCTGGTATCGTACTAAAGTCGTCGCGAGAGGCGACGACGTGCAAGGTCGCCGCGATATTTGGCCCCTGCGGTGTCTCGGAGAGCGAGACCCGCGTATAAAGTTTATCGGAGGTGTCGCCGGGGGTACCCGGGCAACACAGGCCCGGTCGAGGTTGTCAAGTCCGCCTCGCTACTCCGCGTCGGCAGTACCCCGTAATAATATATATGTATACATATACATGAGAGCGCGTGGTGGCTTAGTCGGCTGGTTTGTGGAACGGCACACGGGAGACTGCGGGTCCCAGCCAGTGCGACTCTCCCGAGCAAGTACCTCTGTGAATTTTTATCAATGGCACTTAAAAAGTTACGTTACATGAGAAACTCTAAACTTACATCGTGTTAAGCTTCAAATATAAAGATATGAAAATGTTAGTCAACTTTTTTACGTTAGTCGACGATCGCTCGAAATCAGATTATTTTTTCATATGACTAAATTTTATTACAAGATGTCTTAAATAACACTCACTGTGGGCAGAAGTTTAAAACACAAAATTTTTTTACTGTACTATTGCTTCTTATTATTAATAAATATTATTAAAAATTGTTTAAAGAATATGAATAAACACACAGTAAACTAAAAATACGATTATCTTACTTTTATCGAAACTTCATACAATTACGTTAATATTTGAGATCGTCATAACAAACTTTTTATTTTTGCAGTAACCAATTATAGACGACGTATTCTACTGGGATGTATTCATGCGTTAAATAAACGCGCAAAGAAAGAAATTTAAAGCAAGTAAGTTCTTAAATTTTTATTAATCTTACTCTTAATCTTTAACTTAAACTGAATACATGGTACTTTCCGATTTCAACGGTTAAAACAATGTATCAGTGCTTTTCAAAGTAGCTTGTTGAGTAAGAAATTGAATTAACATTTTAATACTAATATTTATTAATATTACAAAAGGAACCAATTTTTCGAGGTAACTTACATCATTATACTATCTACATTTTGTCAGCTGACTTGTGGATGTATGACTATAAATTCTCATAAAATTGATCTTTTAACAAAAGTGAAAGGTAAAGTAAGTTTCATGTGATGAATGGCACATTTTTAAAGAAATTCTAAAGTTTTTATACAGTTGTAATAATTTGTATTCTTTTACTTTAACCATCAGCCTTGCAAAGTTGTGTGATCAAAATCTAAAAAGGATCAATTTGTGTTTGGTTTTGTCACAGTACACTTTTTGTATAAGCATTGTAATTATTTGTTTAAGGAGGCTTGGGCGATTTTGAATTAAATGCTGGCTAGGTCTGAAATTCAGAGATTATATAGATAAAGTTTGCTAGATTTTTTTAGGAAAACAAAAAAGGTAGGTCAACACATTTATTTTCGAGAAAATCGCTTGTGAAAATTCGTCATTTTAACACGCAACCTTACGGAACCAAAATTCAATAGACTACCGTACCACAATAAAAAGCTGTGGGCCCACACATTAAACTGGTACATGTACTTGAAAGTATAAAGAATCTATTATTTAAAAAAAAGAATAGGATCAACACGTTAAATTTTGAGAAAATAGCGAGGAAAACATCGAACATGAGAATTGTTTTGTTCAGGTACTGTAAGTGCGCATGCGCTGTACATTCATAAACATGCAAGCATGAAAATTTAAGTCTAACACAAGTATAGGTATATAATAGCAGATGAGAGCAAGAGAGTACAGTGTTGTCAGCTTTATCGTGGCAGGGCCGTCATCTTTACACAAGGTACCTCGGGAAAACTAATAAATTTTTTAATATCGATTATCCCAATGACTTTTCCGCGTATTATTGCTATTTTGTTCACACATGTGTATAATCAAAATGAATCATTTGTATGACAAGTATCCCACAGGGGCCCCTCAATAGATACGACACCAAACGCCCAAGCCTCCTTAATACGGGGTTTGAAAATTGAAAGCCTAAAGCAAACAGAAAATAACAAAGCTTTTACATTTTTACATTCTCATAACTTAAGTTATAGTACATTATGTAATGAGGAGCAGTAGCTGCAGACGTTATATATGTATGGCTAACGGATGTATAACCTTTACAGTTCATGCAAGACAGAAAACCATTGGATATGTTTTAGTAACATAAGCAAAACAAAGATTTGTCAACAAATTATTTGAATTTTGTTTATGTAAAACGCATTTAAATAATACACCTCATATCACGATGTAATAGTAGTAAACTACTTTATTTCTTGAACGTTATTTTTTTCACATTTGTATATTGAATAGAAAAATGACGTCACATGACCATTATGCTTTAAAAAAATATGTGATATATTGAATGCCCCGATCTGACACTATTGCTTTGACAGCGCGAGATCATCGATAGTTTCTGCTATGGTTATTTTTTCCTTGTGTTTCCATGAGTAAATAAAAATCATCAACATAAATTGACTTCTTAATGAAATGATCGACTGTCACAGAAGCATGGCCACTGCATGCAGTTCAGAGGTAGAGGTTAAAAAAGTATAAAGAGTGTGAAAAACAGACATGGAGACGTGCATGCAGACAAACATACATTCAGCAAAGCTACTATTAAAAGAATCATTAATATGAGTATAACGAGGAGTACAAATTAAATGAATTTTTGTGTCGAACTTTAAGTGGAGGTGTAAGGGAAAAAAGTATACGTACTATGGCCAAAAGTGGGGCTATTATGGTGCGGTCAGTAATGGCCCCACTTTCTAGCCTAGGTACGTAATTTACTATTGGTTATTTTCGAAGTGCGCAGCGAGATTAGTAATTTTGTGACTCCTGCTACAGCTTATTTAATTAATTAGAAGACTTCATTTAAAAAAAAAAATAAAATGCTTTTAAAGTTAGTCACTTAATAATGTGCGAATCAACTTTATTTACCTCTACGTCTGTATAATAACTGTATTGTAATAAATAAATCGATTTCTCATTTTTTGACCTGTAAAATATTATGCTTATTATCGGATAATTAATTTATCTTGCAGGTTTGTTAATAATGCGAAAATAACAGAGCTAGAAAAAGAATACCAGCTTTAAATAGGGCTTTATTGTATTAACCTAAATTTAAGCTAATGGGGGTTAGTGAGTGGAACTTGCAGGGGGTGAAGTCGAACTAGTATACATGTGGTATAAACAAAGAGAAAAAAAGAGAGGTACATATTTTATGTATGATGGTCTAATTTTTGTGGCAGGCAAAAATTCAAAAGTAAACAAGGTGACAATTCATACGACCATACCGGTCGTTAATCTTGGTCAGTTATCAATTTTGCTTGTACAAGGCTATCTCCGCCTGCGTTGGACCGCAAATGATCGAGGAATTAGTCCGGGAGCCAGGGTACTGTTCGAAGCCGATGGAAGTCTATGGCTGCACCAAAGTTTTTTTTATGTATTTTGATGTGCTGAATCCGATTATCAAAGGTGCTTGGCTGTAAAGTTGGCCGATTAATTGTTATAAAGATTTTTTGTAAACAAATAAGATATTTCTTTTTTTTTTAGATTCTTTGGATAATTGTAAGACAAAAAGTATTTTTTTCATTTTTCGTAAAATCCTTCGTTTACGAGTAAAAAATTCACGAAGTTTCGGAAAACAGGGTTTTTCACGAAATTCCACCATACATTGCACAGTCATTAATGCACATTTTTTAATCCAGCACGGCTTAAAAATTTTTTATAACACAGTACTATAATCGTATGAAACGAGCATCTAATGATTTGAATTAGATTTTTATCTAGCAATGCCTCGTCGTTAGGTCTATTTCGCGCTTACGCTGTAAGTATGTACTAGAGGCCACACATGAGAATTCATTATGTTTATTTATAAATAGCTGCATTTGAACTTTCTTTTGATATTTTCACTCCTTATTTAAATTTCTAAAGGTTGCACGTCATAAAAATTGTTAGGTAGCACATTTTTAAACAATATGAATAAACACAAATTTTTTTTTTATTTTTGAAAAAATTTTTTTTTCCATTTCTTTAGCTTATTTTTAGCAACGAAAGCAGTTTATAAAAAAAAAAATATTATTGTTATTACTATTATACTACTTTTTTCTAATGTACAATTTATTTACGAACGAAAGAATATTTCATATTAATCACGTAATACGATTTATTTTCAAAAATTTGTATAGATTTATTGTCATGAAAGATTATTATAATAGTTTTTTTTATATCTATACTCGGATTATTTCTGTACAAACGTTCTACTGTAAAAAGAAAAAGGGTACGTAGTGAGACAAGTATGTGTAATGCGATTGATAAACTGAGATTAAAAATTCAGTTTATGTTAGTTATTATGTCACCTAAATGCTTCATGCTGTAAAATGTTCAAATAGTACATAACTTAAATATTTGGGTTATTGGAAATTATTTGTGGGAAACCAATGCATTTCTTAGATTCTTGTTGCTAAAAATAAGCCAAAGAAACGGAAAAAAAAAATTTTTCAAAAATAAAAAAAATTTGTGTTTATACATATTGTTTAAAAATGTGCTACGTAATAATTTTTATGATGTGCAACCTTTAGAAATTTAAATAAGGAGTGAGAATATTGAAAGAAAGTTCAAATGCAGCTATTTATAAATAAACATAATGAACTCTCATGTACCAAATAGACCTAACGACGAGGCATTGCTAGATAAAAATCCAATTTAAATCATTAAATGCTCGTTTGATACTATTATAGTACTATGTTATACGAAATTTTTAAACCGTTTTGGATTAAAAAATGTGCATTAATGACTGTGCAATGTATGGTCGAATTTCGTGAAAAACCCTGTTTTCCGAAACTTCGTGAATTTTTTACTCGTAACGAAGGATTTTACGAAAAATGAAAAAAATACTTTTTGTCTTACAATTATCCAAAGAATCTAAAAAAAATGAAAATATCTTATTTGTTTATAAAAAATCTTTATAACAATTAAATTCCATCGGCTTCGAAAAGTACCCTGGCTCCCGGACTAATTGCAGGCTCGAGGAGATTGAGATAACGTGCATACAGAAGGACAAACACATAGCCATTGTCACCGTCATAGTCTCTGTCAGTGACACATGAGCGCTTGTACATATTAGTCATCTCTCTTACGTTAAGTCAGATCCGACGCCTATTATAGAGGAGCTGTACAGTGTGTAGCGTGTATATGCAGCTGTTATGCGTTTGTCATTATAATAATATACTAATGAGCGCGTGGTGGCTCAGTCGGCTAAATTGTGGATCGGCACTCGGAAGACCTTGATTCGACTCCCTGCCAGTGCGACTTTTTTGAGCAAGTAAGTACCTCTGTGAATTTTCATATATACTTTTCCACCACGCAATGCTCCTCATCGAAGGGATGGGCGACTTTCACAGTTTTACACAGCAAAAATTCCTTTTTTTCTCCGATCCCTCTAACGGAAACGGGTGGCCTCCCATTCCCATCCCTCTTCCCTTCCTTCTTTCAAGTGCTCAAGGTTGTGAACTCAGATAAATTAATTAAGCGTATGTCCACTTTTTTAGTATATAAGATATGAAAAATGTCAACTTGTTCACATGTAAGAATGTAGTCATAAGAGTTCTTTTTGTTAAAACTTTTGTAAATTATTTTTCACTATCAAAATATTTTCATTACGTTTTTCCGCACGATTCATTGCTTATAAAAATTTTTTGATTGTAATCTTAATAAAACTTTAGTAAACTAAGAATTAAAAAAAAAATTGTATGTTCACACCATCCCAAAATAATAACATAATAAATACATAGAATGACGTTCGAAAATTCTAAATCAACAT